GCATAAATACCGGATGTATGCGTCAAAGATAAGAGGAAGGCTGGTGGATGGCTTTAAATTTGTCAAACCCCAACAATATTTATCATAAATTTATTTCCATGCCTGCAGACAGATTTGATTTCTTGTCTCCTGTTTAGCATTATATTATCCACCATGCCTTGCAAAATCGCCATCTTTTCGCTCATGCACACGTTACGTTTGTTACACTAACCGGCAAACACATGCTCACTACTGAAGATCTCCAATTTAACTATGGGGTTTGATTTATCCTCCTCTCTTTTATACCAGTAGGTGGCTATAATACTCCTGTTTCCCCTCTCTTTTTTCATCACCAATATAAAATCTTTCTTCACTCTCGCTACGTATTACAACCCTATAGCAGAAAAGAAACCAATATCTGAAAATCATTTTTTGATTTTTCTTATAGTGACACTTTTGACTCGCTCTCTCTCTCTCTATCTATCTATCTATCTATATATATATATATATATATATATATATATATATATATATATATATATATGTATGTATATATCTTCATCCAGCACTATTCTTATGATTTTGTCATTGTTCTTCTTGATTTGTTTTATTATATATATAATATATTCCACAAAGAGGAAAAAATTCGATACAGTTTATTTAATTGTTGTAATTTTTGTTACAATTATTTGAAACAAAAACAAAGAATAGGAATGTTGTAGCTTAAAACAAAATAAAAGACACAAATGTTTGATGTGCTGTTCAAACAAAAAAAAAGCTAATTTTTTATGTTAGTTAATTTTTTTCATCATATAGTAAATTTAAAATTTTTTGTATATAATATATATATACAGTAGCGTCCAAAACTAAGGGACAAAATTTTAAAACCTAATATTTGTTAGAAATAACAACTGTGAAAAGCTGAAATTTTGACAACTGGTATTCGTTATCATCCATAATAACATACTAAAATTTGAATCATTTGCAAAGGATAGAAAAAGAATTATAACAATTATTTATTTTTTCAAATTTGGAACGTCCAAAAGTAAGGGACAAAATTGAGAAAAACAATGTAAACGGCAAAAAACAATAAAAAATACATGCACAATCAATATTTAGTAAATGAGCCCTTGCTCTCAATGACAGCTGCACATCTTCGACTACAAGAACGAATCAGTTCTTGACAATCCTCGATACTAATTTTAGACCATTCTTCTTGAAGCTTCACCCACAAATCCTCCGTGTTAGTGGGATTTCTTTCCATAACTTTCACTCCTAAGGTCTTACAAAGATTTTCTATTGGATTTAAGTCAGGACTTTGCGGTGCCCAATCCATAATTTCCAAATCTTGCTCGCTAAGGTAACTCATTACCACCTTTGCCTTGTGACATGGGGCATTATCTTGCATAAAGGTAGCCCTATCGAAACCTGAATTCTGTATGATTGGCACAACATGATCTTGAACAATGTTTTTATAGATCTGCGCGTTTACACGAGTTTGTAACCGGACAAGAGGCGTTGTACCTTGGCTAGAAAACATTCCAAATACCATGACGCTTCCGCCCCCAAACTTGACAGTTTTCTTAGTACACTTTGCACTTAATCTTTTAACAATACGTCTCTTTACATTGTTTTTTCCTTCATTTCCAAATAAATTAAACTTGCTTTCATCACTTAAAAATACTTTTGCCCAATTTTCATATGTCCAAATTACATACCTGTTTGCAAACTCTAATCTCTTCTTCTTATTCTTCGAACTAACAAGTGGTTTCTTCCCTGGGGTTCGATTAAACAGCCCTATTTCTTGCAGTCGTCTACAAACAGTCTGTCTTGACACATTAACACATGAGGTACTATTCATAACCCTTTTAATTTCTGTGCAAGACTTAAAACGGTCCTTTAATGACATACGCTGCATTATTCGATCTTCTCTTGCCGAAATTTTGCGGGGTCTGCCGGTTTTAAAAGCACTAACTATTTTGCCAGTATCATTGTAGGATTTAACAACCCTGCCTACAACACTCTGAAATCTCTCTAATGGTGTGCTTTTCCTTGTGTAGCTTCACAATAGCTTGTCTCACAGAGTAATCAAGTTTTGGCGTTTCGCCATGGTGTAAATGGCTGATGCAACGTTTACAAATGACGAAGTAAGACTTATTCTTTAGAGGAAATCAAAAATTTGAATATAGCATACTGTTTACATTGTTTTTCTCAATTTTGTCCCTTACTTTTGGACGATCCTATTTTGAAAATAAATAGATAATTGTTATAATTCTTTTCTATCCTTTGCAAATGATTCAAATTTTAGTATGTTATTATGGATGATAACGACTACCAGTTGTCTAAATTTCAGTTTTTCACAGTTGTTATTTCTAACAAATATTAGGTTTTAAAATTTTGTCCTTAGTTTTGGACGCTACTGTATATATATATATATATATATATATATATATATATATATATATAGGTTGTCCCCCAAAATTTGACATCATTTTAAAAGCCATTATCTTGAAAACTAATAAGTCTAGCTCAATGAAATTGAACAGTTTAGGCGTTGAACATCATAAGTTTATTATGAGACCGATGTCATAAGTGTTCAATATGTGCACCGCCTGTGACACGGCACACGTCAAGTCGGTAGTTAAGCTCTTACCAAACACGCTGTAGCCTGTCTCCGGTAACATTATCCAGTGCGGAAGTGATTCACTGCTTGAATTCATCAATCCTAGTAGGAAGAGGTGGGGACATAGACCGGTTCCTTCACATATCCCCATAAAAAGAAATCAAACAGGGACAGGTCCGGTGACCGCGGCGGCCATTTCATCAGAAAACTGTCTTCATCTCCACCACGCTTGATCGATCTCCTGGCAGATTCTCATTTAGATAAGCACGTACTGTCCTCTTCTATTAAATATAAAATTTCGATCTCTTTGATTCTGTAAAAAATGTGAGCTTATTTCAACAAGAATTACCAAAATTATTGGCCTGTGAAATGATGTCAAGTTTTTGACGACACCTTGTATTTCTGAGATGTGATATTGTAACTATTTACATTGTTCGGACTGTTGTCTTCATCTTTACTGTGATATTCGCAACGTCTCCACTGAACAATGTAAATAGTTTAAATAATTACAATACATCATGTCAGAAATATAGACAGATCCTGAAGAAGGCCGGGGCGTACAACGGCCGAAATGTTACAAATATGACAATAAAGATGAGCACAACAGTCCGAATGATGTAAATAGTGTAAATAGTTACAGCATCTCATCTCAGAAATATAGACAGATCCTGAAGAAGACCAAAGTGTACAACTGCCGAAACGTCATGAATATAACAATAAAGATAAAGACAACAGTCCGAACAATGTAATAGTATATATATGTGTGTGAGTGTATGAAATGTATATATATATATATATATGTGTGTGTGTGTGTGTGTGTGTGTGTGCAATTTATTATATATATTATTTATATTATATATGAGCGGTACTTATTTGTCTGGCGATCACAAAAGTTTGAATCCCAGGGTCACAAACTCACATCAATCCAATATATACATATATATATATATATATATATATATATATATATATATATATATATATATATATATATGTATTAGTTGTTATTTTTTTACAAGCTTGTAGTAAAAATAACAACTAATACGGCAAGAAATTTATATAAACAAGGATCAATTCATTCATAACGGATCTGGAGGTTTTTGTGTACTATTTGAATTGTTTGCGAGATGGGTGTCTCGCCATTTAAATCATTAACCTTTGCATTAGTTTTGTGTGAATAATTCATGTATTTGTAAATTGATTGCATGTTTATTGTAATTTAAATAACTGATCCATGTGCGACTTTTGGTTAATAAGTGCGACATTACTGTAATTATTGAACAATATAGTTCATGCCACTTTGACAGTAAAATTTACCAGTAAAATAATTTGTTCATTACCATATTTGGTATAAACGCAAACACTTTAAAAAATTTAAAATCAAACTCAGCGTTGCTTTGGCGCGTTCAAAAAACCAATAACTCATTTTCAATAGCATTTCGGATACAATACACATATATTTTCGATGTCCTCTTATTACTAAGAGAAAAAACAAGAACAACATCTATTATATACCTGAAGATGTCTGTAGGAACAGACGAAAGCTTGTAGTAAAAATAACAACTAATACGGCAGAAATTTATATAAACAAGGATCAATTCATTCATAACGGATCTGGAGGTTTTTGTGTACTATTTGAATTGTTTGCGAGATGGATGTCTCGCCATTTAAATCATTAACCTTTGCATTAGTTTTGTGTGAATAATTCATGTATTTGTAAATTGATTGCACGTTTATTGTAATATATATATATATATACATCCGATGTGATGAAAACGAAAGTAATATATAAATTCCAACGTTCACAGCATTAATCCAAAAGAGGGCTCGATACCGATAGTAGAGCGATAATTATTTATTTATTATAATTTTTATGTATATTTTTTCTTCTCAAACAAATGGAAAAAGGATGTGACGTTTCACACACGGCTTGCCTACAACCAGGATTGTTTATAACCTTTTAGATTCTCACCCGTCGAAGTGCAATTGAAATGCACTGAAACAAAGTTGCATCTTTGTAGTGAGTAAAATGGTTTTGTCTATATGATAAAATTATAATAAATAAAAATATATATATATATATATATATATATATATATATATATATATATATACGTCACTCGTTTTAAAAATGTATATGTTTACGTCTGTGCACATAAAAGTAGAACGTAACTTCAAGAAACAATTTTGAAACAATGTACTTAATTTCATTAATAATTCGATGATTATTTTCATTCTCTTCTGAGGAAATGCTTCGATGTTGTACCGAAATATCCTCAACCCGATCAAGAAGGCCTTCCGAAATCAATACCTTGAAATAGATTAAGCTGAATATTTTTCATCAGAGAGGTTGACACTTACATTAAGATGTTTTTCAAAGAAGAGGAGAGATACTTACCCAGTCAGGGACTTCTGACACAGTTCGAGTTGCTCAAGTAAATGTGGTAACAATTGCATAAGGGTTTCGTCCCCAACACAACAACGGACCACATTGGATGTCTCGTGGGCCCTCGTCATGATCTTCACCCAAGATTTGTCAATATTTGAAAACCTTTTCGCTTCCTGCCAACAAAGAATTTAACATTTTTAAAAGAACATAAACAAACGAACGTATTTATTAAGTAATATCAATGACTGGCTGCTCGTAACCGAGTACGCCTGTCTACATAGCACTTTAGTCATTCCCCAACACTTAGTAATATATTCAACAAAAAAAACCCAACTATCATAGTTAGCTGCAGTTGTGCTAAAAAAAACATCGGCCAGTAGATAGGTCGGCACAATCACCCCATTCTAAACAAGCGTTTGTAAACATTTCGTATATAATACGTTAAAATTTCCTTTTCTCAGCCGTGCGCCGATAGGGGTAAGATCTCTGACTGATACCAAATCGATCGAGTTTCGATCCTGGCTTGAAATAATCGGACGTCTAGCCACACTGATGAACTGATTTTATATATATATATGATTTTATATATATATATATATATATATATATATATATATATGTGTGTGTGTGTGTGTGGAGTCTACAAGACAAGTTTAACACCGAGCATCTTGGAGACCTTCCTGCGGTTAGATTTGGTGTTGTATGACAAACAACGTCTTAAGGTGAGCCTTTGTGTCATCTTAAAATTCTGAAATATATATATATATATATATATATATATATATATATATATATATATATATATAAAGAAATATAGTCTTAAGGTGTGCTATATTTATGGGATAAAGTGCTCAATATCAGAGATAGAGCGTGTGTAAATATAAAAGTGAACGTAGAAGTCAACACTTAGAGGCGACAGTCTGTTTCTACGTTCACTTTTTATATTTATATATATATATATATATATATGCGCGTGTGAGTGTTATGTCTGTGTGTGTGTGTTAAGTATATATTTTATATATATATATATATATATATATATATATATATATATATATAAGGACACTTCGATTCGACGTGGTGTAATGATTAGCAAGCTTGTCCTGCTATATCAATTACTACTGAGTAGTTGACACTATTCTCACTGGATGCCTCCTACCTTCGGCCTTGTGTCACATCTAAGCTACTCTTAGTAAATCAGTATATATATATGTGTGTATGTGTGTGGGGGCGCTCACGCGTGTATGTGCAAAGTGAAAAATTTAAATTTAAAAATGAAATTAAAAAAGTTGAATAGATTTTCAGTTCTTGCGATAAAGTCTCGGCTTTAGAAATTGTGTAGAAATATTTAAATTTGATAAGTTACTTAGGCTGTTTAATAAGCGTTTATGAAACCATATTCTGCCAATAATACAATATTCTTTTTTAGACGTTGATGAGCGAAACATCACAAAATATTTTGTCAGTCTTCGAAAACATCGTAAACTTCACCTATTTTTTAATAGTCGATCATTTTACCTGTATTTTTAGCGATGGATCGTATATAAGAGTTCCACTTGAGGTTGGGTGTGAGTTTGAGGCTTAACATTCTTTCAAGGCACAGAGCTTCCTCGAAGGGGCATCCGTTCATCGTAACTGACGGTAGTTCGGGGTCTGGTCGGCAGTGATAGAATTTAACCAGTTTAGTTTTCGAGGCATTGAATGTAACCAATCGGTTTATTCCCCACTAGAAAGTTATTGTTTTAAAAGTTAGACAAAATTACCAAACCAAATTAACAAAGACACTCTACCCCAGCCTATTAAGCATCATATTGCTACTAGTGTTCTTCCTGTTCACAGCAGACCTTCTCGGCTGGCACCGAAAAAGTTGAGAATGGCTAAAGTTGAATTTAACCAAATGATGGAACTGGATATTGTCCCTCCACCCAAGAGTAACTGGGCGACTCCTTTGCAGCTGGTTCCCACAAGTGGTAGTACCTGGCGCGCATGTGGCGATTATAGAGCACTCAACACTGTCACCATGCCTGACCGCACCCCATCTCTCACATACATGATGTAACGGCTATTATCCAAGGTAAGCGTAGATATACTAGATTAGACTTTATCAGGGCCTACCATCAAATTCCGTTAGAGTTCAAATATATTCCAAAGACTGCCATAATAACGCCATTTATGTTGTTCAAGTTTTTACGTGTGCCATTTGGACTAAGAAATGCGGCGCAGTCTTTTCAAAGATTTATCGACTTCCCTTGGATTGTTGGCGGGGCTTAGGACAGTGCGTGTCCGTTGGTTACGTGTGAATTCAGCCCCTTACCAAACTGGCTTCCCGTGGGGTCTTTTTACTCTCGTACATAGAAACGTTAACATCTCTCTTTCCTTAAGTCCACAGATATAGAAAACGGATATAATTTTTACTAGATTCGGTTGAGTGGGAGGAGACACTTGTCTCAAACATCAGCAAGGCACGTTATTTCACCTCATCTAGGGAATCTGAAAAAGTAAGGCATGTTGTGTGTTTATCTTTTATGTACCTACGATTTTTTTTTTGTTTTTCAAATGGGTACGCTTGTATCTCGTCTTTTATTTCTGTTTATTCAGTGTTAGTGTACCAATAGATACACTAATGCTAATATTAGTACCTGGTGAATTGGAAACTACCAAATATCTTCCTAGTATCAGATTGGCGGTAAATTATGTCTGGCGAACAAATCATACTAATAAGTGGTACTAATACAAATAAAGGCAACTGTATATTTTTAATATTTTAATAAAGCAACTCTATATTACTCTATTGGTGGCAGCTATATATTACGAACATTTTTGATAAGGTAATTGTATATTAATGTTTTTAATAAAAGAATTGCTTATTACTATATTGAAGGCAACATTATATTACTCTATTGCAAGCAACTGTATATTACTAATATTTTTTATAAGACAACTATATATTGCTATATTGAAGGCCCCTGTCTATTACTAATTTTTTAGTAAGGCAACTGTATGTTACTATATTGAAGACAATAGGATATTAGTAAATTTCTTGGTAGAAAATTTCTTTATTACGATATTGAAGGCAACTGTATATTACTTTATTTGTAACTCTAAGACAATAGGATATTAGTCTATAAATAATTTTTAAGACATCTGTAAATATTTCTATATTTAATGTTTTTAAGACATCTGTATATTATTGAAGGCAGTCTGTATATGTTTTAAGACATCTTTATTTTATATTGGTAACTCTATATTACTAATGTTTTTAAGGCATCTGTATATTTCTATATTGAAGGCGAGTCTATATTAATAATGTTTTTAAGACATCTGTATATTTCTATATTGAAGGCGAGTCTATATTAATAATGTTTTTAAGACATCTGTATATTTCTATATTGAAGGCGAGTCTATATTAATAATGTTTTTAAGACATCTGTATATTTCTATATTGAAGGCGAGTCTATATTAATAATGTTTTTTAAGACATCTGTATATTTCTATATTGAAGGCGAGTCTATATTAATAATGTTTTTAAGACATCTGTATATTTCTATATTGAAGGCGAGTCTATATTAATAATGTTTTTAAGACATCTGTATATTTCTATATTGAAGGCGAGTCTATATTAATAATGTTTTTAAGACATCTTTATATTTCTATATTGAAGGCGAGTCTATATTAATAATGTTTTTAAGACATCTTTATATTTCTATATTGAAGACAAGTGTATATTACTAATGGTTTTGATAAGGCCAATTTATATTACTATTCCGATGGCAAATATATATTACTATAATGACGGCAACTGTATATTACTAATGTTATGATAAGGTATCTATATATCGCTATATTGAAGGCAAGTGTATATTAATAATGTTTTTTTAATAAGATTAAGGTCTTAATTGACCAATAGTGTCATGTTTGGCAAACATGACACTATTCTATTCAATTACGACCTTATTCATCTCTGATTCAAGAAAAAAAGTCTATGTTTCAGAAATTAGGAGATTTGTACGGTCAATTCCAAGCTTATCATTACTTGATTCTTCAAAATATGTTGGCCTTCATTATTGACCGAATAACCTGGCTCTTCTGGGAACGGAACAAACACACTTATAGAAGCTTTAAATGAACTTCCTAAATATTTTCTTCAGAATGTCTGGCCAGAAATGATAAAGCTGTTTACTCCTTTTCCAGTACATATGTGTTTACTTGTGCGTGTGAAAACACGAATTATACACACACACACACACCGAGAAAAACACAACAATATGTTTGTGTGATAAACACTGCGCACGAGAATAACGACCTTTCAGTGTGAATCTCGTCCTGAGAATTTAGAAGCATTTTTTTTAACTCCGCGTTAGTCATATTTGGTTTTTGTTATTACAAATTTTTTAAAGTATTCGTACTTGGCAACTTGTTTCTTATACCCCCTCCACGATACTATCCTGACTCTCAGTGAGTGTGTGTAGCATGCATTGGGGTGCAATTGTAGCTCAGTTGACGTGGGAGGCAGACCCGAGCGCGCTATCCATTTTCAGAAATCCGAGGTGAATAACGTAGTACTAAGGGGATTTACATTTATGTCAATTTTTATTCTAAATCGAGGAATTTGCTGAAAAATTCTAAATAAAAGAAACACACAAATAACGTGTCTGTATGTAAAAAAAAAAAAGTGTTGTAGTGTCCTCCCTCTAAAGAGTTTATGTTGGACTCTTCCGCCTACTATAAAATTAGTAGGAGAGAAGGCCTTGGGGAACAGTCGAATAGATTGAACGCTGGTCAACCGTCACGCACTCAATACTCGTGTACTACTTTTCTGGTGTATTTACTATTTAATATATGATATATCTGTAACACTTGTTTTGTTATTTCTTTAACCATTTACTTGGTCACAACATCTTGGAAGTGTTACAGATATACATATATTAAAGAGTAAATAAACCAGAAGAGTATTACACGACTAGTGAGTGTGTGTCGGTTGACCAGCGTTCAATCTATTCAATTGTTATATTTACCAGCCTCCCCATGAGTTAGGATGTGGCACAAGGCCGAGTTTAATGTGTAGGCCCTGTCAAAAATTCCCTACATACCCCATATAAAATGGGGTCAGGTAGCTGTTTCCTGAGACGAGACTCTGCCCTTTGACAGCCTCGTCTGGGGATCCTCTCTGCCCGAAGGCAGAGAGTTTGACCAGCACAGTGCCAACATATCTATTCGACTATTAATATTTAACAGCCCCACCACGAGGGATGTATGTGGTGCAAGGCCGAGTTTACCGTGGGTTCTCCGAGCCAAAAATATTCCCTTAGAAGCCGCATTAATGGTTTCAGGGCTGTCTACCTCCCCAGATGAAACTTTGCTCTTCGGCAAAGCCTCGTCCGGGTTCCTCTCTGCTCAAGGCAGAGAGTTCGACAGTAATGAGCAATCTATGCGATTTTTCCCCAAGAACTTCTCTCCTACTAATCTTATAGTAGGCGGAAGAGTCCAACATAGATTCTTTAGAGGGAGAACAGCACAACAAAAAGAAAGAAAGAACGTATCCTTCTTTTACAGTGGTGTTCACTTTGTACATGGACCGAGAGCTACTCGTGGTAAAGGTTTCAATAGGTATAGCTTATGTGGAGATGTGCAGAAGATAACAGTTAACTCTAGACTTGAACCAAAAAAAAAGAAAACATATCCAAGTCTAGGGTTAACTAGAGTGATCGGGGAAGCAGCTTCTTGGGAGTCGGTTCGACAAGACAGCCGTCCGTGGGAAGCAGCTGCTTGAGTGGAATTTCTACCTCACCAGGGTAATATGAAGGGAATATGATTAGGATGGACAATTATGCTGTAACACTATTTGGACAATTTTGCTGTTACACCCTGTATATATAGATTTATTATTATAATTATTAGTAGTAGCAGTATTCCTTTTATCTACACTAGTAGCAGTTAATGAATTTGCTATCCAACTCGTCATTTTTGCGGTGATTGACGAATCTTTAAAGTGGGAGGGTGGTTCGCTAGAATGTCCGTGGTATGGTAGGTCTTAGTCGTGAAGGTCAGAATTGGAGGAACTAAAAAGTGTTGTTCATCTGAGCATTCACCATGGAAATAGCGATAAAGCAGTGAGAGGCTTGCGACATCTCCTTTCTGCAAAAAGGGTGACGGAGTGGAATATAATTTATCGCCTACAAGGACGATTTTAGACTCTGCGGAGAATGAAAAGTGAAGCGCTGGGAAACTCCTGTCCATATATGGCAGATGTAATCCATTTTCCGCCTGATCTGGTTCTTGTAAAGATAGAGGATAGCAGGAGGAGTGAGTTACTTTCTGGAACCGTACAGGGAACCCAGCATTTTTAGTGATGGATCGCATGTGCATGTTCCACTTGATCTCTGGGTTGCATTTGTCCCAATAAGCGCTCAAAGGTATCAACCGTTCATCACAATTGGTGAAAGTTCTGGGTCCGATCGGCGATGGTCAAAGTTTGGTCTTTGATTGAATTTGACCTGCCAGGTTTGTTTCCCTCCCCCAACTGTGCTGCTAGAATTAGGTGAGAGAGATCGAACTGCAAGGATCTGGTCATCGAACTTTTTGAAGGTGCACCCATATACCTTTGTATCATCAGCATCCTCTTGGGAGTCGATCCCACAGAGAAGCAGTTCGTAGGAAGAAGGTGCTCGAATGGAACCCACAACTTACCAAAGGAATACGAAGGAAATGAAGGGTGTTCGCTACAATATTCATGGCATGGCGGGTCTTAGCCGCGAAGGAAAGAACTGGTGGGACCAAAGAATGATGTTAATCTGAACATTTTTCATGGAAATAACGACAGAGCAGTGAGGAACTCGCGACATCTCGTCTGTGAGAAAGTTGTTGTAGGGTGGAAAATAATTCATCATCAAGGACGTGAAGACGCTTTTGGACTCTATCAAGACAGGAAAGTAAACACTAAGCAGTACCTGTCCATATATGGCAACAGTACTCAATTTTTTGCCCGATCTCGCTCTTATAAATGTACAGGAAATTGCAAGGAGTCAGGTACTTACTGGAGCGGTAGCGGGAACCGATCATTTTTTTGCTCAGTCTCTTTAGGGATGGAACGTATGTACGAGTTTCATTTGAGGTCTGGGCTGAGTTTAAGTTCCAGTAGACACTTAAAGAACGGAGCTTCTCCTAGGGAACATACGTTCATCTGGTGATAGTTCTGGGTCTGATCGGCGATGATGGAGTGTTACTAGTTTGGTTTTCGGGGAAGTTGAATCTGACCAGTCATTTTTAAACTACTGTGCTGTTAGAGCTAGTTCAGAGGAGAGATCAGCTGTCAATCTTTGGTCATCTACAGTTTTGGAGGTGCACCCCTTATACCGTTGTATCATCAGCATAGATATTCACAATTGATCGGAGTATACTCTTAGGCATATTATTTATACAGAGGCGAAAGAGGGTTAGATCAAAAAGCCAACCTTGTGGCGGGGGGTGATCGTTAGGGAGGACTTTATAACTAGGAAAACTCTTTCAGTGACTCCATAGCCAGTGAACTTAAGCAGTAACACTTTATGCCGCGCCTTGTCAAAGGCCTTTGAAATATCTAATGCGACCGTCCTTGAGATGTATCTGCTTTCAAGTGCCTCAATAATTCTGTGAGTAATCGCATTTAGGATATCAGCAGTGAACAAGGCAGATCGAAAGCCACACTGCTTGTCGTTCAAAAGGTTGTACTTACTGAGGTGATCAACAAACTTCTTTTTGATTATAGATTTGGCTGTGTGTAAAAAAGAAAGAAAACAAAAAGAAAGAAAGGAGCAAGGGGCATGTCTGTGCAAAAGAAAGAAAGAAAGAAAGAAAGAAAGAAAGAAATTGTCTGTTAGTAAAAAAGAAAGAAAGAAAAAAGAAAGTGTATGTGTGTAAGAAAGAAAGAAATTGAAAAGAAAGAAAAAAGAAAGAACGTGTCTGTGAGAAAGAAAGAAAGAAAGAATGAAAGAATGAAAGAAAGAAAGAATGAAAGAAAGAACGTGCCTGTGTGTTAGAAAGAAAGAAAGAAAGAAAGTTTAAAAAGAAAGGAAAGAAAGAAAGAAAGAAAGAAAGAAAGAAAGAAAGAAAGAAAAAATGAAAGAAAGAACGTGCCTGTGTGTTAGAAAGAAAAAAGAAAGAATGTGTCTGTGTGTAAGAAATAAAGTGTGTGTAAAAAGGAAAAAAGAAAGTGTCTGTGTGTAAATAAGAAAAAGAAAGAAATTGTCTGTGTGTAAAAAAAGAAAGAAGAAAAAAGAAAGAAAGTATGTATGTGTAAAAAGGAAAAAAGAAAGATCGCGTCAGTGTGTAAGAAAGAAAGAAAGAAAGAAAGAAAGAAAGAAAGAAAGAAAGAAAGAAAAGGAAAGGAAAGAAAGAAAGTTTAAAAAGGAAAAAAAGGACGTGTCTGTGTGAAAGAAAGAAAGGAAGAAAGAAAGAAAGAAAGAAAGAAAGAAATTGTCTGTGAGTAAAAAAGAAAGAAAGAACTTGCCTGTGTGTAAGAAAGAAGAAAGAAAGAAAGAAAGTGTCTCTGTGTAAGAAAGAAAGTGTGTGTAAAAAGGAAAAAAAGAAAGATTGTGTCTGTGTAAGAAAGAAAGTGTCTGTGTGTAAATAAGAAAAAGAAAGAAAGAAAGAAAGAAAGAAAAAAGAAATTGTCTGTGTGTAAAAAAAGAAAAAAGAAAAAAGAAAGAAAGAAAGTATCTATGCGTAAAAAGGAAAAAAGAAAGATCGCGTCAGTGAGAAAGAAAGAAAGAAAGAAAGAAAAGAAAGAAAGAAAGAAAGAAGTTTCTTTATGCATATTAAGCTGGCATGGGTCCAGGTCAGTGAAAAGCTGTTAAATTTACCCAGCACTTTAACCTCAAAGAACACCTGCCGTGACTCGATTAAACCTGTTAATAATCTCCTTTCAAAAGATTGCTTCATTATCAGACGCATCAGCCAATAAATGTGTCAATTCGCCTTTGACAATTCATTTACAGCAATGCGGCAATTGTTGCGTATAAGTACTTAGAAGAAGGAGAGAAAATTAAAGAGAAGAAAATGAAAAATTGAATGGGAGAGATGAGCAAGAGAAGGAGTGAGAAAGAGAAAGAGAGAGGGGGGGGCTGAAAAAAAGAAATGGAGAAAAGCAAATAAGAGCAGAAAGGGAGAATGAATAATTAGATATTTAATTTATATTATGAACATACTGCGGTTGTTATTTAAACAAAGGAAGGTCATGTAGCCCCGGTCATTCAAATGCGAAAAGCACGATTGTCTTACAAATGGACCTGAAAAATCCTAGAATTTCTTTGAACTCGGAATTTGGTCACAGCCGCCACAGGTAAACAACCTACAATTTCAGCCAATGAGGAAATTGGACCCCCGACCAGCCTTTCCATACTTTTACCTCGAGGAAGAAGCACTTGTATCGCTGGAGATTTTTTCACTTTCAAGAAAGACATTCAATTAATTCCTTTTTTTCTTGATTTTTTTTTTAACGGGTGACAAATAGATTTTCATGTGTAAATAAATACCCTTTTTCATTTGCTGTGTTATGCAAAAAATTATGTTAAAAAAATATTTTGCTGTATTGTCATATTTGCACTCCTTTTACCAACTGCAAAGAAAATTATATGTCCAGCTAATTATCATCATATTTTTACAACAGCATACATGTCTACAATCGCAATTCAGAAAAATTCTTGTTGAAAATACATCTATACTTCTTCATGAAAATAATAAACTTAAACTAAAAATTCTTGAAGATATCTATATTAAGAAACTGAAACCAAACATTAATAAAATTAATTATGAATACTGCATGTTTACAATAGATAGTACTAAAACTGAAACGTTAATCAAGTCAATCCCACAGTACTCAACTCAACATTCTTCACTTCACAAGTAAAAAAAAAATTAACTTTCAAATGAACACAGCAATTTAGTGTTCGAAAATGATGAACACTTCAATCTTTGTCTTGAAATAAACAACACCCTGACGATGGTATTCTACTAAACTCGAAAGTACCCGGAATAAAAAAATATGTATCAACGCAGTAATTTTTTCTCTTCCTTTAATAATAACAAGAAAAAATTTGTCCGTGAATATGAAAGGATCCAATTAAAAATAAGTAGAAAAACATGTCTAAATTATCCATTGAAATATGTCACAGTGAACACATGCTGCCAAAATATACACAATTTTTTTTTATATATATATATATATATATATATATATATATATATATAAAGATGGTAATGTTTAACTTCCGATTGGTATTATTTGCGACAGTTGATTTTTTTATTGTTAAGTCTTACATCATTTTTAACTGTTTTTTTTTTTGCGTGCAGATGAGTGTATTATGTTCGTATATTTCATAAGTATATACAAGAATATATAAGTATATTTATTTATTTTCGCCTAACGGCCTGTCAGACAGCATATACACACACAAACACATATACACACACACACACACACACACACACACACACACACACACATATATATATATATATATATATATATATATATATATATATATATATATCCGAAGAAATATTGCTTTTTTTATTTATTAATCCGACATATTTTTATGCTTTAAACATTTTTTTAGCGGATCTTCATATTTGAGTAGACGTTCCGTTCTTATTTAAGAAAAAAATATACGCTTCGGGTTCGAATCCTGTCGAAGGACGGCTTTTCTTTGATAAGACTTCTCGAATATTCAGGCCGGTATACTAATAAATATACTGGTTAAAATTTAAAAAGAAATAACGGGGCGTCTACTCAAATATGGGTATCCACTAAAAAATATGCGTACTGGATAAATAAATATACCGGGCATAAAATTGGCAAATTGTCCAAATCGTGTAACAGCAAATTGTCCAATTGTTCGATTAAGCTTTGAATCATCGTATCTTACAAATGATTAAAGATATCTTACTGGAATTCTCCAAGGTTTTTATAATACTATTGGACTCTACTTTGAGCAATCAGAATGTATAATTACTCTTCAAGGTTAACAGAAGAATCGTGATTAAATCGATCATAAACGAAAATGATATGTTCATCACTAATTACTCATAGCTAAGGATCGGAAGCTCATGAAGGTTTGAAGTAAAGTTTATATATATATATATATATATATATATATATATATATATTATTCTAGGATCTTTTTCCAACTTATTCAAGGTGATCTTCGCTCTAACCTTCTAAATTTCTGTCCTAGTGATTCACTCGTTTCACATACAATTTCATTTTCAAATCTTTTTTCACTGTTCTTTGGACTGTTGTAGCTAAAACTCCTTTCTCACGTGCCAAACGTCTTATGGATTGAGTTGGATCTTTTCTAATAGATTTCTTTAGCTCTAAGTTGAAATTATGATCCCTTATAAGAATATAAGAATATATAAGATGGTGTCAAGATAGCTAAACGTCTTATTTGAAAACGTGGATAAAAGAAACTCAATTAGTTTAGTGTTTTTTACATGTTAAACATTTTGTGGGATGAACCATTATGCTGTAACATGATTTGGACAATTTTGATGTTACAAAGATGGAAGCCAGAGTATGAATGTTGTCCAAATCTTTTTTCATTGCTTTTGAACTATCGTAGCTAATCTCATCTTTCATCTTATGGATTCAGTTGGATCTTTTCTAATAGATTTCTTTAGCTCTAATTTGAAATTTTGATCCCTTATAAGAATATATAAGATTGTATTAATGGATCTTTTTCGCATATTTTTTCTGTATATATAGATGTTTTATTATAATTATTAGTAGTAGTATTGCTTTTATCTCCACTAGCGACAGTTAATGAATTCGTTAGCCAACTGGTCATTCTTTGTGGTGATTGACGAAACTTTAAAGTCTGAACATCCTTTTTTGGTTTCTTTCTTGTAAGAAAGGAAGAAAAAAAAAACAGAATTAGAAACCTGCTCTTAAACGTGTCGTTAATCTGCTGACAATTTTCTTTTCTCTCCTTATCTTCTTGATATTTGCGTGAGTATACAGATGTGACTTCACCATCCCTCAGTCCTTGTCTTAATCGAGGAGGTAATGTCTTTGGCCTCTACGAAGCCGTTCGACAAGCGGAAACATTCATAGACTCAGAAAAATGGAACAGCCTTTTTCCGAGGTTGTAACAGCTCAAGATCTTTCTGAAGAAAAAAAAATAATAGGCGTATGCTAGAAATAGGTGAACTGTGAATAGATTCACAGGCGCATGAATACTTATTTTTGAAAATCTTATTGACACCATAGCATCGGTTAAGGCGCCTCACTTGTCAGACACAACGTCACCAATGGACTGTGGAAGAATGGCGCCATATTACCCAGTCAGGTGCTACGTTTCTAGTTATTTCACAGACTGTAGAGTTCGTGTGGAAAGGAGACCGAATAAAACTTTGGATTCAGACTGTTAGCAATGTTTTGTGAAGGCTCTCTCAAGGGTTTAATTGTGTTTTCTTTTATTTCATAGTTAAAATGCATTCTATTTTGCCATGTGGGACACACACAGCGGATCATTCGTAACCATTTATGTTTGCTATGCTTCCTGGCTTTGAAAATCATACAAATACCCCATGTCCATTGGACGCGCGTGACACGAAACAGGAACACTGTCTTGAAGATAAATCAATGGCCTAAAATGAAACTGTATCGAGTATAAACAGGATATACTACAGACTTCACTAAATTCCTTGTAGCCACACTCACAAACCGAGAACTTTGTTTTGGACAGATCTAGAAAATGAATTATTGGATATACTCAGGTGACCCAACCAGAACATAAAAAATGACATGCTACGTCCTGTAACCGACATTATTCAGGAGAAAAAAAGAGCTGCTTGTTATTATATAACTGTATCTAAGTTTTTACACTGCATTATATATATGCATATATCTTAGAATGTTTTTTATTGATTCGAAAGATTTTTATCACTTTAAACGTAATTTTTAGTGGATACTCACATTTGAGTAGAAACTCCGTTTATTTATTTAACAGCATATTTATCTTTATATATCTATATCTGTATATATTTATATATGTATTATCTTTACACACACACACACACACACATACATATATATATATATATATATATATATATATATATATATATATATCGGGTCCTGCAAGCCTTCTTTGTGTAAACAACGTGAGTGTTTGTTGGGACTCGCTGTCATTTGTCTCTAGTTTCTTCCGCATATATATATAATTTTTTCCCCAATTCCTTTTATTGTACATTTTTCTGTATTAATTTTAAATCTCCCGTTGAAGCCTGAAGAGCGGGAGCGAAACCGGTTGCTTCTCCCTTGTAGTTGTTTTTTTTTCTTTTTCTTCTTTTTAATATGTCTTGTAATATTAAATTTTATACTTTTATTTCGATCATTAAATTTTGTAACTACAAAAAAATATATTTATATATATATATATATATATATATATATATATATATATATATATATGTATTATCTTTATATATCAATATATATATATTTATATATACAGGGGTTGGACAAAATAATTGGAACACTTGTTAAATTCAAAGAAAATTTATTTAATATGGAGTTGTTTCTTCTTTTAGCCTCACAGACAGCTTTGATACGTCTAGGAATGGAATCATACAGCTTCCTGACTTCATCCAGAGGAATGTTCAGTCATTCTTCCATTAAAACCTTTTCCAGCTTTTTTTACAACACGACGGTGGAGGATATGGCTCCTAACTTGTTGCTCCAAATGCACCACAAATGTTCAATAATATTGATATCTTGAGATTGGGGAGGCCACTCCATGTGTTCTAGCTCACTTTCATGCTCTTCACACCAATTCTTAACCACTCGAGTGGTATGTATTGGAGCATTATCGTCTTAGAAGATGCAGTCACCATCAGGGAATAAAGTCTTGGCCATTGGATGAACATGATCTCCCAAAATGTTCAGGTAATCTTTGCTGTTGATTCTACTGTGCAGGGCAACTATTGGACTGAGACATTTCCATGATATGGCGGCCCAAACTATCACTGATCCACCTCCATGCTTCACTGTTGGAAGAAGGTAGTCAGGGTTGTAAGCTTGTTTGGGCTGCCTTCATACATAAACTCGCCCTGAAGTTGGGAAAAGAGAAAAACTGGACTTGTTTGAGAATATGACTTGCTTCCATTAGTCTGCAGACCAGGCATTGTGATCTTTGCACCACTTCAACTTCTTTTGAAAGTTGCGAATGGAGAGAAGAGGTTTCCTCACAGCGACTCTTCCATGATATGCAGCCTTATGGAACTCACGGTGAACAGTTTTAGTAGAAACTGAACTATTCAGATGGTTATTCAACTCAGCAGTCACTTTGGCCACATTTGTCCGATGATTTTTTGCCACATTGCGTTTCAATGCACGTCAGTTCCTGTCAGTAAGTTTGCAAGTCCGGCCCGAAGTGCTACGGTTGCTAGAGGTCTTGCCCTGTTTCTCGAATTGCATCAGTGTTCTTGATATGGTAGCTCTTGAAAAACCAAACAGTTCAGCAACCTTAGTGATCGAGGCTCCTGCCATGCGAGCTCTAACAATTTGCTCTTTTTCGAACTCGGAGATGTTATGCATTTAGCTTAAATTTTACTAAATTCTAAAAATAAATAAGACAAAGACAGTAAATTAGAGAAATAAACGTATTTACAATAGATATAACCTGCAATTACAAAGTTTTAAAGTTCTTAATATAATAGGTCTTTGAAATATAGGAGTGGATTTTGCAACTGTTCCAATTATTTTGTCCAACCTCTGTATATATATATATATATATATATATATATATATATATATATATATGTGTGTGTGTGTGTGTGTGTGTGTATATATATATATATTCGTCTACCAGAATGAATGTGCGATAAATCCTATTAAAGAAAAATTTCTACTTTCCAGAGGGAAGGCACTAAGTTTGGCATCGCCTGACCGACTCTTCTTCGTGGGAAAGTTAGTTAAGGCGTTTCGGGCTTAACGGTAGATTCCTCTAGCCCGAGGGACACAGATTCAAATCTTCGCATTTGAGCAATAAAGGAAGTTTTCCTTACAAAATGGAGGATACATTATTATTACTTAGATTTCTCGAATACGCGGGCCGAGAGACGTAATATCCACCGTTCGTTTAACAAATAAAATAAAGTGTCACTAATAATGTTCGAAGTAATAAAAATGAAAGATTAAAATATATATATATATATATATATATATATATATATATATATATATATATATATATATATATTTCAATAAATCTTTCATAAAAAAGTAAATTAGTAAAGTTCATGATATAAAATGGCGAAATCCTTCGCTAACAAAATTTTAGAGATGCATTAACCTACTAATTATTTGATAAACTCCTACAACAAAAAATTCTCAAATTACCATATTAGTAGAAAACGCACTCAGTTAAATATAAAAAAAAATTCAACCTTAGTGTTGCGAATGCCCTCTCTAAAAGTTTGTATCCGTTATCAATGACACATTAAAAAAAAATAAAACATTTTTCGATTCGCATTATATATTTTCGTCTCGGATACTACCCGAATTTTACCAAAGACCATGCCTGAAGATTACTGAATGTACAGTCGAAAGTACTTGCGTATTTAAGAAAGACCTTATACAGCTTATAATCTTTCAAAAACAAAAAACAAGGATCATAACATTCATAGAGTGATAAGTAGGTTAATGCATCTTTAAAAATTTTGTTAACGAAGGGATTTGGCCATTTGATATCATTAACTTCACTAATTTGCTTTTTGTATGAATGATTCATCGTAATATAAATTGAACTGCACCACATATTTGATACATACATACACACATACACACACACACACACATATATATATATATATATATATATATATATATATATATATAAGTAATAAATCCGTTGGTAAAAAATCGAAGTGGATTCTAATAATATAAAATATTTAAACTGGTCCACAAAAAGAGATCAATGCATTATAACGAAGCATATAAATTACATAACAGAGAAATTATATATATATATATATATATAGACGATTTCAACCGAATCAATACGTTAGGTGTGTTCAACTCAAATGGTGGATTGTATCAGAACTCGAAATGTGTGTGTGTGTGTGTGTGTGTGTGTGTGTGCCTTTGTGTGTGTGAATAAATATAGGTATATATTTAAGGTATGCTGCCCATATAGCATATAGTTTTAAAGTGTGCTATAAATATAGCATATAGTATGGGCATCAATAAAAGGGATAGGTCGTGGTTAAATATAAAATTGAACACTGAAGTCAACACCAAGTGACGACAATCTCTTTCCTGCTTGAATGCAATCTTCATGTCATCCGAACACACGCATATACGCACACACACACACACACACACACACACACACACATATATATATATATATATATATATATATATATATATATATATATATATATATATATATAAGTGGATACAGACATCAAAACCAAGCGGCGTCAATATTTAAGCTTTATGCACGAAACAAACTGTCATGGCTTGTGGATTACCTCAGTGTCCTCTTTTATATTTACATACGATGTATCGCTTTGATATTCAACACTTTTACCATACATTTAGAGTACCATAAAACTGTATTTCTATCAATTATACATACTATATATATATGTGTGTGTGTGTGTGTCTGTGTGTGTGTGCGCGCGCGCGGTGCTATAAGGTCATGTGTTCCACTGACTGATTACCACTGTCAGATTCTTACGCGCTATTGCATGCAGTCATTAGGAGGCTGGTAGTGGGTTTTTTGTTGATATGGGTACTTATACCCCCTCGTCTAACCCACCCTGTTACAATAAATGTAGCTGGTGAAGATACATAATGCTCTCACCAAATAAGATCATTGATGGGGAAAATACTCATACAGAATATGTTATGATAGTATCTCCAAACCGGAGAAAAAAAAGGATTTTAAAAAAAACATCAGAATAAAAAATGCATTGGTGTGTAATTAATAGTGCTTCCTTCTGGAATTATTTTTTGCTATATACATTCAGACATTTTTTTATGTTTATACGTTCTTTTTATAGATACAAATATTTAAGTAAATGCTCTGTTTATAATAAACAGTTTTAACGACATTTACCGGCCTGAATGTCTGAGACATTTTCATAGAAAATATGCATCCTCCGACAGAAATCGAACCTGTATCCTATATGGAACAGTCATATAGCCTGACGTGCCTTTAACCGATTAAGCCACAGAGGAGCGTTACGGATAGCAAGGTCGATTTTATTGTATTTTTTTTTTTTTTGAGGGTGGGGGGTTGTTTTGTTTTTTTGTTTTTTTGAGAATTGTAGTTTAAAAAAAACAGTAAAATCGACCTTGCTAACGAAACGCTCCTCTGTAGCACAATCGGTAAAAGTACCTCAGGCTATATGACGGTTCCGTATAGGATGCAGGTTCGATTTTCTTCGATTTTAAAATTTCTCGGACATTCAGGTCGGTAAATGTCGTTAATATTGTTTATTATAAGCAGGACATAAAAATAAATATTTGTATCTATAAAAAGAACGTATAAACATAAAAAACGTCTTAAAATAAATTTCGGACTTTTTCCATTTCATATTGTGATATATATATATATATATATATATATATATATATATATATATATATATATATATATATATATAGATAGAGAGTGAGAGAGAGAGTGTGTGTATGTGTGTGGTCATATATCTGTATTTGATTATTTGTGAGCAGACATATATATACTGTACCGCGCGAAAGTGTTCAGCAGCTACTTTTTAAAAACATTTCACGCCAAAGTAATTCAATAAAGCCACTAAGATGCAAGTGGTTACTGAGTTTTCTGGAATATGAAAAATACCAGCCAGGAAAAAGAACAATTAAAGAACAAGAATTAGAACAAGGATTTAATGATTGACGTCGCACGAAATGGTTTGTAAATCAATGTTGACTTGGAAGCAATAAAGCAGAAGAGAGTTCCAAAAGAGACAAGTGAGGGAGAAGAAACTGTTAGCATAGAACTTACGGTTACACCTAGCTATTTCAAGTGTAAAAGGATAAGATCTTGCCGCCATTCTTCGCTTAAATTCTAGTTATCATAGAGGAAAGTTCATCTGAATAATTACCATGAAAGTATTTACCGAAAAAGCACAAGGGAGTTAGATTTACGGTGGTTTGAAAGTGACTGAAGTCAGAATAACAAGTGTGAACCAATAATATTATATTATTATTCTTTTTTGGATTTTATCAAGAATATCTAAATAAAGCAAGAACACTAGACCAGACGTGGGAGGAATAGCCAACGCCAGGAGGAATAGCAGACTTATAAATATGCAAGATAAATTTTGGCGGCAAAAATTGTCTAGTACGACACGATGAAGAAATTTTTTTAGCAGCAGACCTAGCAATCGGTTCAATATAATATATTGTAAATTTATAATAATTGTCAGCTTATAAGTGGATGTCTATATTTCTGAGATGAGGTATTATGTACACTATTTGCATTATTCGGACAATTGTCCTCATCTTTGTTGCCATATTTATTACAACGTTTCGACCTTTTAGTATCTGTCTATATTTCTGAGATGAGGTATTATGTACACTATTTGCATTATTCGGACTATTGTCCTCATCTTTTTGCCATATTTAGTCTATATTTCTGAGATGAGGTATTATGTACACTATTTACATTATTCGGACTATTGTCCTCATCTTTGTTGCCATATTTATTACAACGTTTCGACCTTTCAGTATCTGTCTATATTTCTGAAATGAAGTATTATGTACACTATTTACATTATTCGGACTATTGTCCTCATCTTTGTTGCCCTATTTATTACAACGTTTCGACCTTTCAGTATCTGTCTATATTTCTGGGAGATGAGGTATTATTTACATTATTCGGACTATTGTCCTCATCTTTGTCGCCATATTTATTACAACGTTTCGGACTTTCAGTTATCCTCTATATTTCTGGGGATAAGGTATTATGTACACTATTTACATTATTCGGACTATTGTCCTCATCTTTGTTGCCCTATTTATTACAACGTTTCGACCTTTCAGTATCTGTCTATATTTCTGGGATAAATTATGTACACTATTTACATTATTCGGACTATTGTCCCTCATCTTTTGTTTATTTATTACAACGTTTCGGACTATATTTCTGAAATAGTATTTGTACACTATTTACATTATTCGGACTATTGTCCTCGCCATATTTATTACAACGTTTCGGCCTTTCAGTATCTGTCTATATTTCTGAGATGAGGTATTATGTACACTATTTGCATTATTCGGACTATTGTCCTCATCTTTGTTGCCATATTTATTACAACGTTTCGACCTTTCAGTATCTGTCTATATTTCTGGGATAAGGTATTATGTACACTATTTACATTATTCGGACTATTGTCCTCATCTTTGTCGCCATATTTATTACAACGTTTCGGCCTTTCAGTATCTGTCTATATTTCTGAGATGAAGTATTATGTACACTATTTACATTATTCGGACTATTGTCCTCATCTTTGTCGCCATATTTATTACAACGTTTCGGCCTTTCAGTATCTGTCTATATTTCTGAGATGAAGTATTATGTACACTATTTACATTATTCAGACTATTGTCCTCATCTTTGTTGCCATATTTATTACAACGTTTCGTCCTTTCAATATCTGTCTATATTTCTGAGATGTGATATTACGTACACTATTTACACTATTCGGACTATTGTCCTCACTTTGTCGCCATATTTATTACAACGTTCGGCCGTTGTACGCTCCGGCCTTCTTCAGGTTGTTGGAATATCGAACTTAACCCTTTATTTCGCTCCCTGGGGTAGACTGTTCTAGTTCCACGTGCCATGTCTAATGGATGTCAGTTATCAGTTATTTCCCGCTTAATTCCCTCTCCAAGTTCACCACCGCCATAACCAGATATTGAACTCACACTCTTTGGTTCCTGTCACTGGATCTAACTAACGCATTTATCCACTGTGCGATGTGTCCTTGAGTCTACTCCAGCGAGCGAAATAAAGGCTTCAGTTCGAGATTCCATCCACCGGAAAAAGACCTGAGCGTACAACGGTCGAAACATTGTAATAAATATAGCGACAAAGATGAAGACAATAGTCCGAATAATTATGAGTGGATGTTTGGCATCGTGTTTTTTACATATGAAACATTGGCCCATTTGGAGTCATTTGCGTACCTAATTATAATTCTATAAAAGAAGTTCTGAATAAAGGGGTGGGGAGATGCGAGATGACGTCCCTATACCCCCGCCCAGCGAAAATGGCCGTGTAAAAGGTTTCGGCCATCTGACCATTTTGCTGTTTTCTATTTTGTCACTCACCTTGGGGAGTTGTTTCGCAATGTCTCCACCCACAAAGACGGCCTCCAGATAAACCCACAAATTCTGAACTGTCAGCCAGTTGTCGATGATCTCTGATGAATTGGATAAGTTATTCACCCACTCTTGAATGGACTTCTTGAAAGGTGCATTGTATCTAAAAAGGAAATATATATATATATATTTATAAAAAAAATGGGGCGATTATGAATATATACAGTCAATGACGAAATTATTCGTACACCCATCAATTTGAATATCTTTATCCATTTCTCAGAATCTAATGCCCGTATGATGCCAGGTTTTTATATGGTAATAGGCACCGAAAAAGGAATATAAAACTCAATTTTCAGAACAATAAGTTAAATACAACAAATTTGATAGGCGAATTAGGCAAAATAAAAAATGAGAAAATTATCGTACAGTATGAAAAATAGAAAAAAATCGAACAATTTTCACAATATTAATAGTCAATAGCATGACCTCTTATCTTTATAACTTACTGCAATCGTTTTCTAAAGTTTTTGAAGAGATTTAAACAAATTTTTTCTGGGATTGTCTTCCATTCTTCAATGGTTACACGTTCTAATTCCTGAAGGTATTTTGGCGACCGACGATTTATTCGAACTTTCAGTTCTTGCCATAGATTTTCAATAGGATTCAAGTCAGTGACATTGCATTTAAATTTTTGAAGATCAAAGTTGGCTGGAAAGCATCAAGCCGGAAGAGATTTCCACAAGCGAGAAGTGCGAGAAAGCAAAGAACTTACGGTTACATCTAGCCAATTCAACTGTAAAATGATGAGACCTTACCGCCAATCTAGCACTGCGCTTACATTCGTAAAGTCTAGGTACAATAGCGAAGAGTTCATCCTGTATTCAGTGCATGGCATGGCATGTGGAATTAGAAATATCTACGCCCGAGATTCGGTTGGAAATTCCAATGTACAGTCAACGACGAAATTATTCGTACACCCGTCAATTTTGAATATCTATCCATTTCTCAGAATCTAATGCTCATATGATGCCAGTTTTTTTATATTGTTAATAAGCACAAAAAAGGAATATAAAACTATTTTCAGAACAATAAGTTAAATACAACGAATTTGACAGGCGAATTATGGAAAATAGGAAATGGCAAAATTATTCGTACAGTATGAAAAATTTTAAAAAATTAACAATTTTCACAATATTAATAGTCAATAGCATGACTTCTTATCTTTATAAGTTGCTGCAATCGTTTTCTAAATTTTTTGATGAGATTTGAACAATTTTCTACGATTTTTTCCCTGCACCCTGTCCCATCACCTCATATCTAGGCAAATAAAATATCACATTGTTGATCTAGAAGAGTATTTGAGCTTGTTAAGTGCGGATAAGTAACTGACTCTCACGTAATGATTAGGGAGTAGAGACAGAAATGCTGTTGCCACTATTGTTAAACTTGACAGAGACCAATAAATTCACTCCATCCAAATCTCTCTCTCTCTCTCTCTCTCTCTCTCTCTCTCTCTCTCTCCTCCCTCCTTCATATATAATATATACAGTCAACGACGAAATTATTCGTACACCAATCAATTTTAAATATTTTTATACATTTCTCAGAATCTAATGCCCGTATGATGCCAAGTTTTTTTATATGTTAATAAGCACAAATAAAGAAATATAAAACACGAACAATAAGTTAAATACAATAAATTTGACAGGCTAATTATGAAAAATAGGAAAAGACAAAATTATTCGCACAGTAGAAAATATCGCTTTAAATTGACTGATTCGTCGTAGTATAAGTAATTTACATAATTATTTAATCGGTGAAGCCTACTAGACTATTTATTCAGTAGATATTTGTGGTAATTCCAGCAAAGAACATCATGTGGTGCATAGAGTGTCACCATTTTTATTCTTACCTTAACAACTGCGGAAGACAAAGGAGCTTAACATTAACTTGAGACAGAGAATTATTAACTTCCACAAGACGGAAAATAGTATACAACGCTATTTCGAACAGGTTAGCTATTCCTAGATCTACAGTACAGTCCGTTATAAAGAAGTTTAGCCAGTTTGGCACGTCAGAGAATTTGCCTGGACATGGAAGAAAACCAAATTGTCACCGAAAACTCCACAAAAACTGTTTCGCGAGGTTAATATAAACCCAAGAGTTGTTTTGAAAGACATTGCCAAAAGTTTGAATATGATGGGTATCAGCGTAAGTATTCACACAATACAACGTTGTTTTAATAGAAATGGGTTGTATTGGAAACTGACCACGATGAAACCCTCTTCACAAAACCATGTCACATTGTTGCTCGTTTTAATTTTGAGAAAAACGTCCTTAGACAAAGAAAATTGCTTTTTGGAACTAGCCCTGATGGAGTGATGAAATAAAAATTGAGTTTTCTGGGCATAATGATGTACAGACGATTTGGCGCAAGAAAGGTGGGGCTTTCCTCCCAAAGAACACAGTGGCAACATTAAAGCATGGAGGCGGCTCGATGATTTCTTTGCGGTTGTTTTAGTTCAAGGGGGACTGGACAAATACTTGCAATAAGAGGAATAATGAAATCTGCAGACTATATCAAAATTATGGATGAAAATCTACAACTAACAGCGCAAAATCTTCACCTAAGTCGGTGATTTACTTTCCAGCAAATATAATGCTCTAAAACATACGTCTAAATCAGTGATTGTGTGGCTTCAGAAAAAAAAAGAAGATAACAGTTATGCCATGGCCTTCAATGAGTCCTGACTTGAATCCTATTGAAAATCTATGGCAAGAATTGAAAATTCGAATAAATCGTCGGTCGCCAAAATACATTCAGGAATTACAACGTGTAACCATTGAAGAATGGAAGAAGATCTCAGAAAAGACTTATTCAAATGTCATCAAAAACTTTAGAAAACGATTGCAGAAACTTATAAAGATGAGAGGCCATGCTATTGACTATTAATATTGTGAAAATTGTTCAATTTTTCTGTTTTTCATACTGTACGAATAATTTTGTCATTTTCTATTTTGCATAATTCGCCTATCAAATATGTTGTATTTAACTTATTGTTCTGAAAATAGAGTTTTATATTCCTTTTTTTGTTTTATTTTCCTTTTTATCAAAAAGCCAAACTGCACTAACTACTAAAGACAGGAAGTTGCAGAGGACTGTGCTTATCTACTTCTTTAAGGGACACGGCGTATAGAAGACGTTTGTTATGAGGAAAATGCATGTTAGGGATCACCCGGTATATTTAAAAATCGTCAGGGAATGTTTAAATTAATTGATACGTTTCTATATTAATAGTTATTATCCATTTATTTCCAGGAAAAAAAAGCTCTTTTTTTCTCATGGAATGTGCTCGATGATGACTGAAGATGTGTCTGCTGAAACGTTGTATCAAAAACAAGAATTATACGACATGAAACATTCTACTGTCCGAACAATATTGGGTGTAAATAGAAGCTTGAAAGTTAACAAGTTAGTCACGAAGACCAATTTGCTAACACAGTAAATTCAACACTTACATCTACGACGAGATCCTTTTATTAATTATTGTGATCGCCAGATTTTTTGTTTCCCTCAAACTATTTGAGAAAATTATTTCGATTTAAAGAGATAGTTAGCTGGACCTAAGAGGCCATAAAAAACAATATCATTTGATTGAGTCAAAAATAATTTCCGTTTTTATCATCTTCATTCTTTATTCAAAACATCAAGTACACCGTTGTGTAAATGGGTGTATAAATAGTTTCGTCGATCACTGTATATATTGATTTAAACACTTATATTTAGTTAATGATAATGTAAAATTAGTTCAGTAAAACTTATTAATACTGCATGAAGTTTAATAAGCATAAACTTATAAAATACCTTAGCACATTACTCGTCTCTTCAAGGTTTAATTCTGTAGTTAATGTCAATAACAAAAATGAACGCAATTATACACACGCTGATGAGTCCCAAATCGGACGAAACGGCCGTCTAGTGCTTTCTGCAATCTGTTGAAGATTCTTCTAGACTCGATAAATTACTAGATTGATTATTCTAATTCCATAAAATTCTGACTTGTATATCCTTGCTTGACCCAGCTAATGCTCTGCAATGGAGGGGCTAAGGTGAAATGAAAGACGTTGCTTTTGGGCACAAACCCCTTGGGTTATGAATATTTGGATGCGTATCAACACGGAATTTGTGAGTAGCGGCGCTGTATCGAGTCTATTCAGTTTCTACTTTATCGCCAAGGCCCGTTGGGATGGTGCTTTCGTTGTATGAAAACGGACCGAGGTTCGATTGTCGGTAGTGGATGCGCACTGCCGATGAATCCCAAATAGGCCGAAACGGCCATTCAGTGCTTTCTACATTTTATTGAGGATTCTTCTAGACTCGATGAGTTACTATATATATATATATATATATATATATATATATATATATATATATATTGATTGCGCAACTCGGAGTTTCATAGGTTTTGCATTCTTCAGGTGCATTTTTTTCGGTTAACACCGCTTCTATAATATTTCTGTTTATTGCGAGATATTTAATGTATTTATACACTTGTTTATATATATATATATATATATATATATGTGTGTGTGTGTGTGTGTGTGTGTGTGTGTGTGTGTGTGTGTGTTACAAAATAAAGAACATGTAGGAAATGTCTTAATCCAACATGTTTCACTTTTATTAAAGGTTAATCAGAGATAGAAATGAAAAAAGCAAAGAGACAGAGTACTTGTTTCTGTTTATATATATATATATTGTGTGTGTATTTAGGCAGCATTTTTAAGAATTAAGAATTTTTAAGAATTTACATAAAATAAATAGACAACACTTGTCTATATTATTTAATGAAACATGTATGAATATATATATATATATATATATATATATATATATATATATATATATGTATGTATGTATGTATGTATAAAGAAAACGTTCATGTTGAAAATTCACTTTGTCTACGCTATTATATACGGAGAATAATAGACACGAAAGATACAATATTACGGTGTTTAATGTAAAAGCAAGAGAGTAACATGTACAATATATATTACTCTCTTATGTACTTCGTTGTAAGAAGATGTTCGAGTGGAACTTACTTCTCACCAATGGAACACGGAGGGCAATGTGGGTTCACTCAAACGGCTTCTTTCCACGAA